TCATATTGGAAGACAGGTTAAAGGAAGTGGGGAGGTTTAGCCTGGAGAGGTTCAAGTTCTTGCTATCCTATGGAAGGGCGATCAGACTTGCTCTGTTTGCCTCCCACGACATAATTAGGAGTATAGAATATAGGGAAGTTTCAGAAAAAAAAAAACAGAGTTGGGCCTTATATAAGGAAAAACTTTCTAAAAATTTTAGCTATCCTAAAGTAGATTAAGCTGCCTCAGATGGTGACATATTCCACTTTATCATATGCCTTCAGACAAAACTTCATTGACAAGTTATCTGAACTGCTGTAAATGGGTTTCTTATTTTCAGGTATTAGTTGGATTAAATAGTCTTTGAAGTCACTACTATGTCTGGAATGATGGGATTCTGTTGCCACTGATACAGAAATACATAATGGGACTGGGTTGATCTATTTTTTTCCTTCTCCTCTTCTTTCTTTTTCCTCCTCATCTGCCTCTTCATACTTGCTATGTGTTTTATACCCAATAGGTGCTCAGTAAATGTTGTTGACTAGTGATTGGGTCTTTACTGTGAGGCATATTTTTGAATTTCATTAACTGAGGAGAGAAATTTCTTAAGCATAAGCCATTTCACCATAAAGAGGGAATAGGGTATTTAAATATATAATGGGTGGGAGCAGGGGATGATCAAATTGTCTAATTATTTGATTTTTTCTGCCAAATGTTTACTTTCTAAACAGTAGAGTTCCCACAGTGTATGTAGATGATGTGCTCTGGGTGGTCAAAAGAGGCTTTGGGAACTCATTAATCAAACTGCCCTTGATTTTCTGCTTAAGCTAATTCAACAAAGAATTATATTTAGAACATACTACATTGCCAGGGAATGAAAAAGTCAAATAAGTCAAAGGGTTTTCATTGGAATGGTGGAGAAGAAAACCAGACTGTATATTTTATGACAGCATCCAGACATGCAAAAAAAAAATACTGTGAAATGATTAGAGTTTTACAAAAGGACCAAGAAGGCCCAGAGATTTTTCATCCTATAGATTTGAAATAGGATCACAATTTTTGAAAAATATAAGGCAGCAGGTAGGATAGATAAAATATGTAATAGTATTGCTAAATATTAAATTCCATTCAATGCCGCCCAATGAGCATTTCCTAAACAGCTACTGTTTGCAAAGTATTGTGTTACATAGCAGACTTATAAAGACCAGATGAAAAGCAGTTGCTATCCTTAAGGGCCTTACATTTGACTTGGCTGAAATATTTATATAAGTAAATAAATACAAAGCATATATAAAGGAATTTCTAGAAGAAGAGTATACATTGGGGCATGAAACTGAATTAAAACTAATCATTATTACAATATTCTGTCTTTTAAATACTAACACTATAAAATGAATGGAAACATTGAAATGAATCAAGCCTTTAGCATCTGATTGAACACTAAGGAAAATAAGGCTAATAACTCCTATGAAAGCAAGTGAAAAAACTGTTATATAATTTCTTTAATAAAAAGGTGTTATTTTAAAATAGGCATTCATTCATGGTATACCTTGTTTTTTTTTCCCTTTATAAGTTGGATCAACACTTGAATGCCTTCATAGATCAACTAGTTTATTCCCAATTTCTGGAATTATTTTTGAGTTACAGATGTTTCCTAGAGGCTCTTTTTCTTTCTTATCGCTGCAGATGAGACTATTACTTAAAATACATTTCAGAACCAGTAATATTTGAGCAATTGTTAGTTGTGTTATTTAGTGTCATTGGATTGTTGTATATTTGCTGTGAAAGTGTAGCTGCTTTCACGTGTTGAGATAAATTGCATGTTATATGTCGTACTTATTGAGGGACTCATATAGGCATCATATCTTCAAATATTGTTTAAAACATAGTTGCCAAAATAATATTCTGGAGATTCTACCTCACACCCATCCAGATTATCAAAGTTGACAAAGAAGGAAAATGACAAATATTGGAGGGGCTGGAGGAAACATGTTCATTAATATAGTTAGTCAATTAATAAACATTTATTAAGCAACTATTATGTGCCAGTCACTAGGGTAAGTATTGGGGATGCAAAGAAAGGCAAAAGACAGCAAAAGATGGTGAGATCAAGGAATTCACAATGTAAGGGGAAGATCATGTAAAAGAACTATATACAAACAAACTAAATGTAGGATAAAGAGAAAATAACAGAAGGAAGGTAGTAGACTTAAGAGGGATTAGAAAAGGCTTCCTGTAGAAGGTGGGATTTTAGCTAGGACTTGAAGGAAGACAGGGAAGCAATAGATAAGGAAAGAGAACATTCAGTGCATGAGAGACAGCCCATAAAATTGCGGTTTTGGTGGAGCTATGAATTAATAGAGCCATTCTAGAAAGCAATTTCTAAATAAACTGAGCATAGTCTTTAGCCCCATTATTAGGGTATTATATAGTTATTATATAGTATATGTTTATTTTACTTTTTATTTATATATATATGTATGTGTATATATATATATATATATATATATATATATATATATATATTATATAGTTACTATTATGACCATAACCCAAAGAGATCAAAGAAAGAGAAAGATCATATATGCATAAAAAATATTTATGCAGCTCTTTTTGTGGTGGCAAAGAACTGGAAATTAAAGAGGTGCCCATCAGGTGGGGAATAGCCAAAAAAATTATGTGATATACAAATGTAATGGAATACTATTGGGCTATAAGAAATGACAAAGGGACAGTTCATAAAAGCAGACTCGTATGAATTGATGCAGATTAAAGTGAGCAGAACCAGAACAACACTACTGGGTTTTTTTTTGTTTTTTTTTTAGTGAGGCAATTGGGGTTAAGTGACTTGCCCAGAGTCACACAACTAGGAAGTATTATGTGTCTGAGGCTGGATTTGAACTCTGGTCCTCCTGAATCCAGGGCCGGTGCTCTATCCACTGCGCCACCTAGCTGCACCTAGAACAACACTACTGTTAACAACAACGTTGTATAAATGAACAACTCTAAATGACTTAAGAACTCTGATTAATAAAATGATCACCATGTTGAAGAACGTTAACCACCTCTGACAGAGAGGTGAGAGACTGAATGTGCCCATGGCCAATATGGGAAGATGTTTTGCTTGACTATTCATATTTTCTATTAGGGTTTTGTTTCTCTTTTTCTTTTCTCTTTAAGATTGGAGAAAAGAAAACAAATGCTTGCTAATTTAAAAAAAAACTAATTTTTAAAAATCTTCTGAAAATAAACCTGGTTTTCTCATGCTCAAGAATCTTCAGTGCTTCCCTGTTCCCTCAAAATAAAATACTGACTCCTCAGCTTGGCATTTAGAATCCTTGAAAATCTGGCTCCAGCCTACTCCTTCATTCTCCTTCATTCTCCTTCATTCTATATTCTAGTCAACCTGATGTACTTTTCTCTAAACTCTTCATCCTCTTTACCCTTTATGACTCTGCATAGGTTTTCTTACATGGTTGGGAAGTTCTCCGTCTTTATCTTCTCATTTTAGAATCCATAGCTTCTTTCCAAAGAAGCAAAGCCTTGTTTGATCTTTCTACTTTGTTTCTTCCCTTCAAATTTTCATGTATGCATGTTTTATTCCCTTAGTGGAATGCAAGCTCTTAATATGCAGAAACTTCTCTTTTTTGTTGTTGTTTTACTATATCCCTAGCTCCTAGGACATTGACATGAATATAACATTGATGCTTAATAAATACTTCTTGGATTGTAGGGAAACAATATATTGACCATCTCTTTGGTTCAAAGGCAACATAGTTCCCAAGTCAGCAAAACCATGCCTAGAAGTTAAATAGTACAATTGAGGGAATTCTAAGTTGTTAATCTGAAGGTGTCTTGCAGTAACGTGAAAGACAGGAGTTTGTCTGATAGCACACATCTTGATCCCAAGAAACTCTTGAGATGATATGATGGAAGTGATCAATGATAACATTACATCAATGAAAACTGTAAAAAGCTTGAAAAGAGCATAAATGGGGCAGCTAGGTGGCGCAGTGGATGGAGCACTGGCCCTAGAGTCAAGAGGACCCGAGTTCAAATTCGGCCTGAGACACATAACATTTACTAGCTGTATGACTCTAGCAAATCATTTAACCCCAATTGCCTCACAAAAAACCCGGCATAAACAAAAGTAGCAAGAAATTTAAAGTGCATTGCCTTAGCAGAATAGATTTAGAATCAGAAGATATAGTTTCAGTAGTCTCTTAGAACACTGTAATTTTGACAAGAGTTTTTGTTGGGTACATTAGGATTGGGAGGTAGCACCATGTTTTCCACTATTATTTGAAAGGTCTAGTACGTGCCATAGCTGTTCTCTATTTTTAGTTAGCTTATTTGAAAAACTGTGAGTCAAAGGATCTAAAAACATAATGGTATGGATGTAGCTGCATAAAGTGGTTGGAGTGGGGCAGGAGGTGGGGGGTAGAGGGTCATGAATGGTTACCAATCACAATACACAGTTAATTAATTTGAAACTTATAATTGGACACCCAGGCAGAGGGTGGCAGAGGCCAGTAAAGTCTCTGTGTTGAAATGATGACTAAGCATCAGTCACCATTGAGACACGAAAGTTATATGAAATGAAAACTTGGTTGTTGACATTCAGATGTGTTGCACCCAATTAAAAAGTAAATGACAATGAAAGACATGGATTTTAATTTAAAGGAACAAAATGAATAAATGAATGAAAAACCATTTATTAAAAACATACTATATTCTAAGCATTATGTTAAGTATTGGGGATACCTTTGAAAAACAATATGGCCTCTACTCTCAAGGAGCTCCTGTTTTAGTGGGAGAGACAGCACAGTGGGATGCTTTAGCTGCAAGCCATGTGGAAAGGCCTCATAGTCTGGGGTAAGCTGGCAAAGCAGATGTTAACGGGCCATGATAATTGTAATTTTCTCTGGCAAAAGCATGTCTTCTAATGTTGAATCATTTGACAGTGCTGGAAAAAGTGGTTTAAGTAAGCAACTCTATCCTTTTGTCTTCCTCCTTTACAGTATTAAAAAATCCAGTGTATAAGTTATACAGATTCCCCACATCGGATAACAAATGGATGAGGATTAGAGAGCAGATGTATGAGACCGCACTGTCTTTTCATATTCCTAAGGAACTGATCTCCCTTCACATAAAGGAGGACTTGAGAAGGTAGGAATCATTCATGGTGTTTTTAAAAACAAAATGAAAATGTTATTCCCTTGCCTAGAAAGACTAGGCTTAACATTGTTTTGACCCAGGTCACATATCTTGTTGTTTATCCTTGGTTTACACACCCCAGTGTGATCCTGCTCTTTGCTCACACACATGCCAATATAGGCTGGGGGAAAGATTCTCAATTTATTCCACACTTCAGCATGTCTGTAATACCTTTGCTACTCTGAAAGGATTCTAGTGTCAGTATAGGTTGGGGGGAGAGGTGGATATCATGGCAGGGTAGGGAATGGTACTCAGAAATGTTGGGGCATTTGGATGAAACACAGTTGTGCTAATGGATTGTTAATAGATAAAATAAGTTATGTTAATGAGTTGTTATTATTGTTGTACAACAAAATTAAATCTGTTGTTATAATGAGAGAGAGGAATTAGTGATCTAAATTGGAGGATAAGAATGCTCTCTGAGCCATGACTAATCAACAAGATGGGTTGGTAGGGCTCAACCTCCAGTGACTTTTAAAACTTTTAAAATGCTGACTAGTGCAGGAGACACAAGACAGAGCTCAATATCTCTGAGCATCAATAAGCAGTAAACAAGGTACATACTTTAAGCACTTGTCATTTTATCATTTCAGTATCAGAAAAAGAGATTTGAATTGTGTCAAATTTGGCTCCCTTCTTCACGTTCATATGAGCACATGTGGTCCCAAGATGCTCTGTTTTTCCCTCTAGGGATCTGAGAGTGCCAGAGGAGGCCATATTGACAGGCCAGGAATGTGTCATGTTAGGGCCAATGGGTAGCAGCCAATCAGGGTGGGAAAGGGTGGTAGGAGAAAGGAAGTAGTGAGATTGAGGAAGATCAGGTGGCTGTTTCAATTTTATAGACTGAATCTTAGGGGTCTGGAAGTTGCACACAGGCTGGAATAAGCAGGTGGATAGTCAAGGACCCAGGAAGCTAAGTGAGAGCCTAACTAGATTGGTCAGTAGAGATCACAGAAACTTAAGATGAGGAGCTGGAGTTTAGGCAAGAAATGATACTCGAAGCTCAGAAAGATTGGGTACCAACAAACAAGAACCCAGGCTTAGAAGGACTGTGTGACAATTCAGTACCTAGGGCAAAGTCCTGAGGGACAATCAAATGGACAGGAAAAATTTGATTCTGAGCCAATATCTTCTGAATTAGATTTCCTTATGGCCATATGTCCAGGTCCAAAGTGTCAAGAGAGGATGAGCTCAAAGGAAAAAGAACATATAGGGACAAGTAGTGGGGTACCCCAGATAGGAGCAGAAGAATTCAGAGGTGATGGGCAGGACAGTGCTTTTAAGAATACTTGTCCTATGGCGCAGCTAGGTGGCGCAGTGGATAGAGCACCACCCCTGGATTCAGGAGGACCTGAGTTCAAATTTGGCCTCAGACACATAACACTAACTGTGTGACCCTGGGCAAGTCACTTAACCCCATTGCCTATCCTAAAAAAAAAAAAAAGAATACTTGTCCTACTGTGGTGAGCAGTCCCAACCCTGAGTGAAAGAGAGTTACCACAAGGGATCCCAATATCCATTTGCACATGAATATGTTGCTACTTTGTTCTTTACCTAGCTTTTACAAACATTTACAATGTGACACAGTATGATAAACAAATGTATTCAAATTTCAAATACATGCTCACATGACAGTCAGAAGAAGCAATATAAAGATTTCAAGGTTTCTCTTAAGAACTCTGGAGTTGACTGTGTGACACAGGAGACACTGGCACAGGACCACAGTATGGCGTGCCCTCGTCAGAGAAGGTGCTGTGCTCTGTGAGCAAAGCAGAACTGAAGTAGCTCAAAAGAAACCCGAGATGTGGAAGTTTAGAGACTCCACCCCAAATGTTCACACGGACTATTTGTGCCCGACCTGTGGTAGAACATTCTGAGCTCCTATTGGTCTGATCAGCCACACTGCAATGTGTGGTAATTTGACTCTTATGTAGAAATGTCATTTTGGTCTTCTTCAAGACTGATGGACAACAATCAACCAGCGGGGATCACAGGATCACATATTTATAATAGAGGATCTTAGAGACCCTTTTAGTACAACACCTTCATTTTACAGATGAGAAAACTGAGACACAGGAGGTCAAGAGATTTGCCCAAGATCATACAGGTAGAAAGTAGTGATGCATGGGTAATAGTTATAAAATATTATCATGTATCTCCTTTGGATGTCTGAGGAAGAAACTGCAGTTCTTCCCATCCAGCTGCTGTAGAGTTATCTGGAGACATGGCAAAACAGAAACAATATGAATTCCTGACATTGGGCTGGGTAATTAAAAAAAAATCACTATGAGAGAAGAGAAGCTTATTACTTCCAGCTGCAAGGGTATTGTCTTTTAGGTTCTATAGTTCTACTTCAAAGGTAATTCACAGCTTTCTTCTGATCTCAATTCTACCAAACTGGATCACATCATTTGGAGAAGGGAGACAGAAAGGAACTGAGGAAAACCATCAAGAGATAGAACCCATCTGTTCACTTACATGTGTCTTCTAGACTCCTTTGCCCATCCACCACATGCATACCTCTTTGTGCAGTGGTTAGTGCTAACCCTTAATAGTGTGGGTGGTATGCTACTCCCAAGGCAGCCAAAGCCAACAGTGCCAATATTACTGCCCCTTGAAGAATATGCGCTTTGGGTTAAATGACCTTCTTGTTGATTTCTGTACAGATGTCCTATCTGCCGCTTCTGTTCCTTTGTACTAGATGGCCTTTGAGTGTGCCTAGAATATGCTACCTAGAATGTTCTTCCACCTCTTAGATCCCCTAGCTTCCTTTAAGGAACAACTCAATGTTGTATCTTACATGAAGCTTTTTCTACATTCTCTCATCCCTTCCCCCAATTTTGGTGCTTTCCCCCAGAAAGTGGTTTGTATTTGTATGTTTTTATGTGTTTGTGTTGCATCACACCAGTACAATGTAAGCCGCTTGAAGGTAGGCTATTTTTTATTTTTATTTTTGTTTTATTTCATATATCTTGTCCTTTATATATAATAGGTGTTTTGAAAAATGCTTGTGGGATTGAATTGAATTGGCAACACTATCAGTAAATGCATTACTGAAATAGACACTGAAGAATTTGTGGACCCCTGGATGTGGGATATGAGGTGGAAGGATGAATCAGATGATTCCTTGGTTCTGAGTTTGGGCACTGTTCTCTGAGGAATAACCTTGATAGCTATTCCACATGATTCTCCATCTCCCATCATTTTCATTACCTCGCCCCCATGCCTGGAATTCTCTCCTTTCATGTCTTTGCTTCTTGATTTTCTTTAAGTACCAGCTAAAATCTCACCTTTTATAAGAACCTTTCTTAACCCCTCTTAATGCTCCTTACTGCCTTCCCTCAAAATTTATCATAAATGTATCTTGCAATATAGCCTCCTATATATCTTGTTTAAACAAAGGGTTTTTTTTTTAAATGTTGTTTCCCCATTAAATTGTGAGCTCCTTGAGGTCAGGGACTGTTCATGCCTTTCTTTGTATCTTCAGCACCTTGCATGGTGTGCGGCATGTGCTTCATAAGTGTTTGTTGACTTGACTTTTTTACTAATTACAGAAAGGCTCATGACTGGGAATTTGCCTACCAACTGACAAAATTCTTTGGCCGTAGCAACCCATGAAATAGAACAAAATGAAAAGTCTTCAATCTGACGCTGTCCCCTTTGTCTGCTCTAGTGACTATGGCAGAGCAGCAGAACAGGAGCAGAGTGCGCTAAGAGTTTTTAGATGATTTAGTGTTAGAAATATGAAATACACATCCAATGACCAATATATTAATGTTCCCCAGGAGAAAATGCACTATAGTAAGATTGACAGTCTTCCTATGAATGAAGTCAGATAATTGGGAAAGGATGTAAGTTGATCATATAACAGGAGCAGAATATAACTGGAGGTCAGTCTGAGTACAAGTACAAATAGTATGAAAATAAATCTAGATGCAGAGGTTTTTAATCTGAGGTCTGTGTTTTAAGTGTTTTTTTTATTTTAATTTTTTGTATTTTATTTCATGCATTTAAAAACTTAATTCTGGGGTGGAGCCAAGATGGCAGAGTAAAAGCAGTTACTTGATTGAGCTCTCCCCCAGATCCCTCCAAATACCTGTAAAAATGGCTCTAAACATATTCTAAATCAGCCGAACCCACAAAAAGACAGAGTGAAACAATTTCCAGCCCAAGACAACCTGGATGGTTGATTGGAAAGGTATATTATGCCAGCTGGGGAGAGGAACGCAGTTTGATGTGGGAGCGTAGGCAAAACAGGCCTAAGCAAACCTGGAGCAAGCCTCAGAGGACTGAATCACAGGCAGTGGTAGTGGTTTCCAGACTTCTCAACCCACAAATGTGAAAGTCTTATTTTTCTATAGACTAATACAAAAAAAATACTGAATACTGAAGAAATACTGAAAAAAATACTGAAGAAAATAACACCTTAAAAAATAGTCTAACCAAAATGGCAAAAGAGGTCCAAAAAGCCAATGAGGAGAAGAATGCCTTAAAAAACAAAATTGGCTAAATGGAAAAGGAAGTCCAAAAGATTACTGAAGAAAATACTTCCTTAAAAATTAGAATGAAGCAATTGGAAGCTTGGGACTTTATGAGAAATCAAGGCACTGTAAAACAAATTCAAAAGAATGAAAAAATAGAAAACAGTGTGAAATATCTCATTGGAAAAACAGCTGACCTGGAAAATAGATCCAGGACAGAGAATTTAAAAATTATTGGACTATCTGAAAGCCATAATCAGAAAAAGAGCCTAGACACCATCTTTCAAGAAATTATCAAGGAAAATTGCCCTGACATTTAAGAACCAGAGGGCAAAATAAAAATTGAAAGAATCCACTGATCACCTCCTGAAATAGATCCCCAAAGGAAAACTCCTAGGAATATTACAGCCAAATTCCAGAGTACCCAGGTCAAGGAGAAAATATTGCAAGCAGCCAGAAAGAAACAATTCA